ATTGATTTATTGATTTACAAAAAGCTTGAGTTCTATTCACAGTGTCAATGGTATTGCACCTAAGAAGGTTAGTATGAAAGAGTGATTGACAGTGGAATAAAAGTACGAGGCTACTCAAAATTTACCCAATTCTACTAGATGGGTAATCGGGTCAATGAAGATGACCAATAGAAATATGATACCTGAAAAAATGAAGTTCCGGTAGTTCCGGTCAGCCCCGTAAGAGCTGGTAGTCACAGCGGTAAAACATCCATTTGGAGCTGAAACCCCGATGGGACGGTGGATTTATACTAGTGATAAGCTCTAACAAGAGTCAAGTCCGAGATTTGTGTTTCTTCGATGTGTAGTTGAATGGATGAATTGGAGATTGTACATGGAGACTAAGCAGGAAAGACTAACCTCCAAAGTTTGTCACAGTGATGGCAGTTCAGCCTTCGTGCGGTTTATGCTACAGATTTTGAAGTACGATATTGATTAGATTCCGCTCAAACATAAGGTAATTCACCAATGCACGAAAACATGCTGGACAAGCAACTGGATTTCTTTCTAATATCTATCAAACATCTACACATACACATTAGTCTAAGTAATATTTGAACAGAATTCCACAAATCCAATCACATAGCTGTACAACGAATATATATATATATATATATATATATGAAGTGAAATACTTTGAATGTTACATTGATAATCATATTTGATTTACGGCTTTAGTGGCTACACTTTGACACAGAATGATGGATAGTATGGATAAGGCTTTATCTGTTGTCAGGATTATCTTTAATCATATTAGTCAACCATTAAGTGTCTACTTGTTAATGAAGGTAAAAAGAAAAGTTATTTCTCTTGTGAATGCTGGCTCTTGACTGAATGCAGTTTTTCGGTCTACGGTCGGAGTATGTAGTTGTGAACCTAGGCGTTACCCGGTCAGATGGGCTTTAAAACGGAGTGGAACAGTGTGCGTTCACAAACCAGGATACTAGTTTATCGCTCGCGGTAACTGACACCATCAAAATTGCGGAGACGAATATGACCCATCCATCCACTGTGTGCATGCGTCCATTTGTTTGTATACATGTGTGTCTAGCCATCCTATCGATGATACGGGTTACTTCAATCGATCGTCCGCTCGTTGATTTGCGTTTATGTGTCCGTTTTCTTGTATGTGCGTGTGTGTTTGGTAGCCAGTCCGGTGGTGGTATGCGTTGCGAACCAGTGACAGACGGCCCACAAATGACCATGTATGCCTACTCGGTACCGATTGGTTATATTGTTGCTGTCTATGGCAACGAATGAGAGGCCGAATGAATCCGACGGATTAGTCATTTTGGCGATTTGACTAGAATGATCCTCACTGGGTCAAAAACATTGGGAAACTGCTTGCTGTTCTAGAGCGAAACAGAAATGACTCGTCGTGTACTGGAACCCATGCTTCTTGGCGTGGCAATTACGTGCATCATTCTTTCTGTGGCGTTAGATGATTGGAATTGTGGAAGTCTGTTCAAATCCTGTTTAGATCGCTGGCGTACCATAACGTTGGGTGTGATCATTCTATTCTGTCTCGGTCTTGCATGTCTTGTTTTGGTATTCCTCATGGATCTGGCTCACTGTTGTTCAACCACATTGGATTTGAATGCAAGTTTCACCACAACACGGCTCTGTGCGCTATTTCTCGGTCTTATCCTCCTGACCACCGGGCTTATTGTGTACACTGCTGAAATGGGTCGCCAATGGTCTTATCTGTCCGGTGTGTCTGGTGTCGTGTTTGCCGTCCAAGGATCGATATTAGCATTTGTCACGTGCCAATGTACTTCCGCTCGGGGGAGAACTAGAATGCAAGTCACTCGGACTATCGCCACATGATTGGAACAAAGTACCAGTTATCGTTCCATCGCACAGACTGACCGATTCAGATGCATGACTTTACTGCGAGGTTTCAGCTTCCAATTGCAATTTAACTGATTGTACAGTTTATCAAGCCTTGATTCGCCAATAAAGTGATAATTTTGTCAGGATCTTGAGTACTCATAGGACGAAAGATGGCGAAGGGCGAAATGTGCAAATCACTTGTGATTTATTTCGTTGCTATTTTGCTTAATGTGATAAATTTTTTGCGTTCTCTACCGACTTCATTTTCGTTACCCCTATTGTATAGTGTGTTTAGAAGAAGAAAAACAATGCCAATTGCAACTTCAACTGCTTAAGTTCTCACTTTTAATGGTTACCGGGAGTCAATAGGCTCTGNCTCATCACCAAAAGGACTACGTTTTGGTTTTGCAATACAGTTAAGGAAACGGGAACATTGGATTAAATATGTTACCGGGATCGTCGCGTCTGTGTGATACCAACGAGTGGACACAACGTAGTAATTTTCTGTCTATCTTGAAGAGAGAAAGCGCAGTGTGTGAGAGAAAGAGAAAGGTAAAAAGTTAGGTGAATGCAACGATGCTGAATATCGAAGTTGGCTGACTTCGTAGAGTTAGGAAACAATACTACAAGGGCAAGAACTGTTCTCATTAGAGTGTAGTTGCATCGAATTTTACCANAGGAAGACAATAAGTTATCAAGTTTTTGACTTGTGCATTCGAACTTAGTGCAAACTCTTACTCTTTTATTGGTCGCAAAATCACATAAGTCAAAGAAACAGAAAAAATAGCTCATTCCTGTATTTGTATGCGTTTGTATGGATATTATGAGCAATATAGTTGGAGATGCATAAAAGTTCAAATCATTCTGCGTCGTTTGTGCCGTCCAGTGATTCAAATACATAACAAACTTGACACTCTTTTGTTAACCGGCTTTATGTCACTCTAGCTTTTATGTCTGATCATGGTAAATCCGGAGCTCTGACTGACTGTTTTTGAACGCACAAAGGGGAGAGGATTGTTCAACCGAATTGTGATCACTTTGGCTGTTGACAGTAAGCAATTATTGGACTGTTGTGGTAATTCAGGCCTACGAGATGACGCCTACCCTGGAACGGCACGTCACAGTTTTCAGGCACATGCGACCAATCAAGTTTGAATGCTGACGTCAGTGACACACGTACGGCTTCCGACTAAACGCCATAGGCAGATCATGCCAGTCAATTCGAGACAGTGAAGACAGAAGCAAGATTATGCAAGAAGTATTGCAATCCCATTGGTGGAAGCCTAGATAACCAATAATCTCCCTTTGTACATATTATTTAATCGCCCTCATTTCTTCCAATAAGCGAACTACTGCTTACTACCATTCCTGTGGCCCTTTCCTCGCGTCTCGTTCTCGTGGGACATTGCGACTCCGTGCCATTGTGGTCCAGTGCTTTTGAGATCCATTCCATGATAACTGATTATTGATTCTGGTCCTGTGATTCCTATTGCGTGTTTGGTGTTCCAAATTCCGTGCGTACTACTACGACTACTACAATCATTACACCCGTATCTCGTAGAATGGCGTTATCTCTGTAAGTTGGATCATCACATGTGGTAGCTCTATTCGAGCGCTCAAACAGTAGCTGGGCAGTGGTAAAGCACCACCAGTTAGTTCTAATGAGAACAATTTCGATTGAAGGTAACACCCGGAGCTTAGTAAGTTTCAGTTCAGTTTGTACAACCATTAACCATGCATCTTCGTGCGGCGGTTTGGGTTGCCGTCATTTGGTTTCCCATTTGGATGAGGAATAGTGGAAAACCAGAAAGTTTGAAAGTAGAATCGAACAGAAAATGGAGAATTTCAGTGGTCTAGGGTTGCAAAGAAATTGAAAAGATGCACGAACGCCACTGTTCATCGCACTCAGCTGTATCCCTAAGTGCCTCCAACCATCGGTTACGATCATGCCGAGATCCCCAGCCGGGGAGCCTAACGGGACCTATGTTACTCAGTACCCTGGTTAGGGACCTCATACCCTCGTGCCAGGTCTTAGGTTGACCACCCTTGGCTATTTTCTACCCACTACGTGCCTCGGCAAACATCGCTCGCCGTGGCAACCTATCTGGTGACATGCGTAACACGTGTCCCAACCAAAGTAAGCTGTGGATGTCGACCACTTGCTCCACTGGGCGACCGCGGCTACCTAATACTCTGCGCCTACTACAGCATTGCTTGTCCGGCTGCCCCACCAGATTCATGCAATGTTGCATAGACAGTGGTTTTCAAACACCGGCAGTCTTTTTATAGTATCAAGCTTGGATTAGCCCATTCTATTGTTCAGAGGCACCAGACACTCTTGATGGTTTTCACAGTTCGAGCCCTGACAGGGAGAAAAAACGTACGCACTGCTGACGAGTCCCAAACGGGACAAAACAGCTGTCCAGTGCTCTTTGTTCGTTATCACAAACATTTCCATCGCACCGAGAGTCTATCTTTATCCTACCTCTTTGATGGTCAAGTTTCTGCGCCGTATATTCGAACTGGCCGAACTGCTGCAGCATGCACTCAACCCTTCACAGACAACCGGATGTCGCGACGGCGCCACAGATGTCTCAAGTTAACAAATGCCAACCGAGCCTCCTGTATACGAGATGACACTTCATCCGTGATGCGTCCACCGGATGAGATGTAGCTGCCCAAATAGCAAAACTTATCCTCTTGCTCTATTACTTCCCCGGTTAGATTGATTNGAATTCACCGAAAACATATGCTCGCCTACATTGTGTGTGTTAGCAATAAAATACTTGAATGAATGCGAGCGATAAGAATAGCACCATTTATATAGTCGTGGAGAGTTCAGTGTAAACTGTAAAAGTGTGTAACTTTTCTTACAGAATAGTTATGGTTTTCAACAGGTGTACACTGCTAACTTGTTCCAACTATGGCATTGAGCAATTCACTGACTGCCGGTATATATTTGTAATGAGTAAAACTTTCGGATGCGTATATAAACACTACAAACTTCAATACAAAGCTGCCGGTAAAGTGGGAACTATGCTTGCGTTCTACCTCTGCAGTCCCGTGTCCCATACCAATT